AGGAGCCCCTGTCTCTGCAGAGAGTGGTTAGGTGTTGCCTGTGAGAACTGGGCGGCCCTTCCACTCTCTGGGGGGGCGGAGAGGGGCCCTGTTCTCAGCTGCTCTGCTCTGGGTACGAGGTGAGTGACCTCCAGGCTCAGGGCGCGAGAGGGCCGCAGCAGCATCGGTGCTCTAGGCTGGTCTCCCTTCCAGACCCGCGTGAGGGAACTCAGTCAAGTTGTCTCCTATGAATTCATTCACTGCGAGGAGAGAGAGAGACAGGGAGCAGTGAGTGACACAGATGAACTGCATGTAGATCAGTGATACTACTGTGTGCACCGCACTGTTACTACAGAGTCTCCTGCAGTGCTTCAGTCACTAATCTACAAGTATCTTATATACTATACTCCTATATTATATATACTAGTGAATTAATTCACTGCGGGGAGAGAGACAAGGAGCAGTGAGTGACACAGATTAACAGTGTGATGATCAGTAACAATACTGTGTGCACTGCACAGTTACTCCAGAATCTCCTGCAGAGCTCCAGTCACTACTATACAAGTATCATATATACTAAACTCCTATATTATATATACACTAGTGAATTAATTCACTGCCGGGAGAGAGACAGGGAGCAGTGAGAGTGACAGATGAACAACATGTAGATCAGTTATACTACTGTGTGCACTGCACTGTTACTCCAGAGTCCCCAGCAGAGCTTCCATTCAACAACACACCTCTTTCTACTACAATACTCCTATGTTATACTGGAACAATACATACTGTATATTTGTACTATACACTACTAAAATGAATTTGTATAATATATACTATACATACCTTAGTACACTCCAATACTCATGCACAATACTAGTACAGTATCATATAAATATACACAGTATGAAGTACTATGTGTAGTATATGACATATACTAGAAACTGTAGTGTGCAGATACCTCTATAAATACAGCACAAGCCACAGCCTTTTCAGTCCCCTTCCGGTGAACCCAATCACCACTAGCACTGTGCATGCCCTTTTTATAGCAAACACACACCTAACTAACCCCATGTGAAAATGTGGACTCCCGCCTTTCACCAGTAATCTCATGATCCATTCATTATCAGCCCATGAGCCTATTTACAGTTCTTAGAGGTCCCTTGGGGGCCTCAAGTGGCGGCTAGCTGCTACTGCAGTGCATTCACGGGCTGGTCCATCACAGTGTCTCTTGCAAGGGTGGGGCTGATCACCAGTGGGCGGGACGTAATTGCCAGCAACGTCATTTGACGGGTCCCACCTCAGTAACGTGGGGTGAACGCAGTTGTAAAACTAGCGGCTGTTCCAAACCCACCTTCCTCCAGCGTGATGGGCGGCGGCGCCCCAAAATCCAAGGGCATCTCCTCTGGCTTCACCCCGCTTGGAGGAGCCCCTGATCCCGGCTGGGGCGGGTGGCTCGGGGGGTCCCCACACTGGAACCCCCTCTGCCGCAGGTCCCAGTCACAGCTGCCCCCGCCGAACCGCCCGGGGTACGAAGGGGGGGGAGGCGCGGGGAGGGGCGTGGGGGCGTCGGCGTGGAAGTAATGCTGGGAGACGGAGAGAGGAAGGGGGTACAGGGAGGGCGAGGGGGAGGGGGGGCAGGACTCCGGGGCGAACGGGCAGGGAAGGGGCTCGAAGGGGGGCGCGGGACAGCCGGGCGACAGCTGGGCGAAGGCCGCGGGGGCGCAGGGGGAGCTGGAGACGGGGCTGTCGGCGGGGTACGGGCTGAGGGAGGAGGCCTGGGACGGCGAGGGGGAGGACGACAGGTAGGGGGAGTCCAGCCAGGGAGAGGGGGAAGGGGAGAGGGCAGAGGGGTGTGGCCTCTGCAACTGGGGGAGCATCAGCTCGTTCAGGCCCAGCTCCAGGCACTCGAAGCTGGGGTGCCTCTCCAGGAACGCACCCCTCGGGCGTCCTGGGACTCCGTCCCCACCGTGGGGGCAGTAGCTGTGGCTCTCCGGCCTCTCGTCTTGATACCCCATGGTGCTGAGGTAACTGGGGTGGTACTCGCTGGGGTAAGGAGGAAGGGTGACCCCTGCCTGATGCCCACCACTCTCCACTCCCTCTCCTCCATCGCCTCCCCCATGGTCCCCTCGCGGTCTGGGGGTACCCCCTCCTTCACCAGGACCCAAGGGGTGTAGTGTCACTCCCCCCAACCCCCCCATGACCATTGCAGAAGGGCAAGGAAGAGGCTCCTCCTCTTTGAACATCACTGGGAGAGACAGAGAGAGAGGGGTTCATACAGACACACTGACTGGACACTCCAGTACATTAACACTGCACTGAGAGAGAGGGGTTCATACAGACACACTGACTGGACAC